CACTTCGGAGGGTCCTTTGTGCACTTCGGAGGCCTAGCCTAGTCCGTGGCCTTCGAAGTGTGCGCACTTAACTTTGGGACACATCTGTGGTATTGAAGGTGGAGAGAGCGCTGGTTATTCACTCCCCCCACCTACAATCCCTGCTGGACCTGAGACTCAAACCCGCAACCTACGGGTTACAAGTCCGACTCTCTTTTTTTACATCACAAAACCCATGGTGACCCTGCTGACAAAAACGATAGAAACTATCACATAAATTCGAATGATTTCCACTTCGCAGTTTTGCTTGGTTGGAACAGCCGCTAATTATGTTTGTATTTGTTTCTCTGTCTTTTGCCACTAACTAGGATTTACACAAGCTTCAGTCTGGATCCAGAACACCTGAGAAGAGATGATGCAACCCCTCAGAGGACCTCAGATGATGCCAACCCTGAAACAACATACAGAACTACCACATTTTGCTATAAGTTTGATTGCATCATATAATAATTGCTGTTAATATTATTCATCGTCTGTTTTATTACGTCTTATATTGATTTTTCCGTTCTGCTGGTTCGTCTGGTCAGAGGAGAACTGGCCCCCGACTGAGCCTGGTTTCTCCCAAGTTTTTTTTCTCCATTCTGTCACCGATGGAGTTTTGTTTCCTTGCCGCTGTCGCCTCTGGCTTGCTTAGTTGGGGCCCCTTCATTTCCAGCGATATCGTTGACTTGATTGCAAAGATATTATTTAAACTGTACTGAGCTGGATGTTGACATCACTGAATTCAATGATGAACTGTCTTTAACTGAAAAATGAGTGTTTACTATTGTCATTTTGCATTATTGACACTATTTTCCTAATTAATGCTGTTCAGTTGCTTTGTCACAATCTGTATTGTTAAAAGCGCTATATAAATAAAGGTGACTTGACTTGACTTGACTTCAAATACCATTACAAACATTACAAACCATCAACTTTAACCATTAAATAATTGTTTCCTGTAGTGTGTTTTGGGACATATTTCATTACCAGTGAACATTACAAATTATGTGATGGTTTCTATTGTTTTTTTCAGCAGGGGACTGAAATAAATGCCTTATTGTATGAACTATAATACTTGAAATCTACATAAAAAGAGCAGAACGCAAAATCTATAATATGACAATGATAAAGAATCTATAAACCTGAAACAGAATTCTTCAATTTGAGTATTCATATGTCTGTCTGTCTGTGTGTGTGTGTGTGTTTTGAGAAAGTAAAAATGCAGAAAGTTTCCTGTGAGGGGTAGGTTTAGGTGTAGGGTTCGTGTAGGGTGATAGAAAATACGGTTTGTATGGTTTGCCTATTGATAGTTTTCATGTGACGTCACTCCCGTAAAGGAACGCCCACCTGGAGGGCAGAACAAGCCTTTTCTCCACTGACCGCCATTCATTTGTACCAGGTTTGAAATACTGCTGCAGGTGCTGTAAATGGATCGCAAGTGCCTATAATTTGCGTTTACTCACATATCTTTGTTTTGTTTTTTTGAGAAATTATCGAAATATTTGTGGGTTGACTGCAGTTCTATGGCTGTTTTGCCCTCCAGGCTCCGCGGTAGTCATGTGACTCAGTGTCTGTGTGTCATGTTAATCAGACTAATCACTTTAGAGGCTACTTCATTTACTCTATTTTCTAACTCAATATCTCTCAAATGTAACCCGTTGTAGAAATGTTATTCTTTTTATGAATGAATGGAATATTCATGTCAGACAACGCGGAGTAATAAATAGCAGTGAACATTCGTACTAGGGGTATCCTGGGATTTTACTCTAGTGCTACAGGCCACATGCTCTATAGTGAGAGATGCGAGCAAATGTAACCTTGTGTAACTGTTCCCTTTTTGTTTTTCTTTTAGCTCCTCCCAAACGTTTTTATCTTCATGTTTTTTGCTTGCCATCATGAGCCCACTCTCCTTTGCGTCAGTATTGGTTTATTTATTTCAAAAGAAATACATTCTGTGTGATTTATGATCATTCTGTATGATTCTTTCCTTATGGAGACCAAAGTGCCTCAACAAGGTCCCCATAAAGTGGGGAATACTAGGAACACACACACACACACGCACACACACTGACACATGCTGGGTTTGCATGTTTTGTGGGTTTATTCCACAGGCGTAATGGTTTTTCTACTGTACAAACTGCATTTTCTATCCCCTTACCCTAACCCTACACCTAAACCTACCTCATACAAAACTAGGCACTTTCAGATTCTCAAAACATTCTAAGCTTGTTTCCTCACGGGGACCAAAAAATGTCCTCACAAAATCAACAGGGGAGCGTGGGGCACAAAGTAACACAGGGTTAGTTGTAACACACGTGGTTTGAATATTTTCACACATGCTAGCATAACAAAATTTATGGTATTTACTAATTGCCATATCAACACTATATAGAGAAAAAAGTACGCCAAAATTCTAAAATCTTTTGAAGATATCCCTGAATATTTATTTTACCATAGTAAAGTTACATTTATGGCTTAAGTAAATTTTTGATCTCAGTTTTTAGTATTCATTAAAAATGAGGCAAATCTGCTATTATTTTCAGTTCAGATCGTTTTTTTAATGCTTCGCTAACTAGCAGAAGACACTCACCAATTTTAAATTCCAGTTGTGCAGATGGGGCACGTTGTAACACTGCGTTACAATGTGCAATGTAATTTACACTGTTTACTTTAATGACTTTTAATGAGAAACCATGAGGAACAGGTGAATAAAGACTGACAGTCAATGTTTAATAATCAGAAGTTATTATTTCAAGAAATGTAAAGCATTTTTGCTCATTTATGTGGGCCGTCCCAAGCACGGTTGCAATGCGTTCATTGTCAAACTCCAAAATCGGATTATTTTTAATTCTTTAAAAAACGCCATTATTTTATTTGAAAAAGTTAATAATTTTATTTGATTGACAAAATATTTTAGTTTGTCTTGTATATTTTTTTTCATTAGACCAGATAATATTATAAGCTGTCATATGATCATGTTACAACGTGCCCCTCAGATGTTACAATGTACCCCACTTACAGGGCAAGTTGTCACATCTCACTTCCATTTTTTTAGGATAAATAAAGAAAAATGTATACACTGTAATTATGAAACAAATCAATGTATTTGTACTACACAAGTGTAAAATTACTGTGGACAAAAAAAAAAGAACTGTGTTTACGTGAATACTCATCAAAACAGACAATTCGACATCATTTTGTGTGTATTTCTCTGTTCATGCGACGCGAAAGAGTACTTATGTGCTGTATGAGAGGCACTTTCTGTGTGTGTATGCTTTGGTGTGAACACTCAGAAAAACGGACCGAATTGAGTTCTTTCTTGCATCCTCAAATTTATCCATATGTCTGCTCTTTTTTTACTCCCACATATTGACATTTATTTTTTTACATTTTATGAGACGTGCAGCAAGTGTATTTTAGCATTATGTCCCACCAGTTCATATATACACATCTAGCCTCCTAACTACGCAGCAGAACAGTAGATTTTCGTCATAGTTTTTGTCATTCAAGAAGAGTTCTAGTTCGTTATCGTCTCGTTGTCAGTGAAAATTATTCGTCAACAAAATTAACACTACTCTCACACACACACAGAAACTCAAACTCCCTCCCTCTCTCACTCGCTCTCTCTCTCACACACACACACACAACTTTTAGTGCATTTATTTAATGCCATTCTAAACAATCTTTCTTACATTAAGCATAGGGGAGAGATTAATTAAAAAAAATACAAGACTATTTTCCTTCAATGACATGAAATTTCATGTAGAATAATATGGGCTATAACAGCTGGAAATTTCATGTCATTTACACAATTTACCACAAATTATTAACAAGACTTAACTTTAACAGTTAACAATTAAATGTGTGTTAAACAATTAAATGCACGATAATAAAAACAGCAGCTTATGACACCGGGAGACTAAAGAAAACTGATTTATCATGCAGCTCAAAGCATTATGGGTAGAATCTCTTGACAGTCTATTCTGATTCATCAACACAGTTTCACTGATGATCTAGAACCAACCCTAAACTCAGGATAGAGCGTCTGAGTGAATGTGGTCTGGACTGTGTGGATGAGGCTCATTGTGTCAGAGACGCTGTAGAAGGACAGAGTTCCTGCTCTATTCTATAGTTATCATCAAACACTCCTAGTCTAATGCTGATGGACTGGGGGAATATAAGGGAGTGGGGGAATAGGCATCAGGTGGGGGGAGATTCAGCTCGTGATCCACGCACTTCCGCTGCGAGATCAGTGCTTATTGCCCAAGCAACGAGCTACCGAACATGTCAGGAGAACACAGTTCGCAGGGTAAGCCGAGAAGACACTCTGCACTGTGACAAATGTGTGGAGGACCAGGATACGACTGAACTGTGCCAGTGTAAGTAATCACTCCGTTTCTCTCAGACATGAATTTAAGTGCTGTGTTCAGATTCGGAGAGAACCGAGAGGAATCTGATGGAGATAAAACACATCAGAATCAGGAATTATGAATCTGTTTGATCTTTTCATGTAGCTGAACTCTTCATGTTCAGTGTATCATCAGTGTCTCAGAACAGATGAGCAGATATCTGTGCAAATCATCATTTACATCATCAATTATAAGCTCTTCTTTCAGCTTCTACAGAAGAACATGAACACACTCAGTGAGTTTTCTGCTGGTTTTCTTACTGACTTACATTGTAGGAAGTGGTTCCTGGTTCTGGGAACAATGTTGGTGAGTGTTTCTGTGGAAATCAACAGACATAGAGAGGAATCTGATGGAGATAAAACACATCAGAATCAGGAATTATGGATCTGTTTGATCTTTTCATGTAGCTGAACTCTTCATGTTCATTGTATCATCAGTGTCTCAGAACAGATGAGCAGATATCTGTGCAAATCATCATTTACATCATCAATTATAAGCTCTTCTTTCAGCTTCTACAGAAGAACATGAACACACTCAGTGAGTTTTCTGCTGGTTTTCTTACTGACTTACATTGTAGGAAGTGGTTCCTGGTTCTGGGAACAATGTTGGTGAGTGTTTCTGTGGAAATCAACAGACATGAACAGTGTGATTCTCATGATCCTGTATCTATTCCTAACACATTTCTAATATGATGTTCTCCATGATATGAGCTGATGATGGACTGGTTTCTGAGAGCAGATGAATCTGCAGGACTTTACCTCTGTGTGAGATCTGCTTGAGCGGCTCTGTGCAGAAATCGTCCAGTTTGTCTCTCAGCTGATGAACAGATTCTCTCAGAGCATCAGAAGAGACGAGAGAACTGAAGAGATCATCATTTACGTCTGTAGATTCAGGAGGTGCTGAGAGAGACTGGAAACTCTACAGAAAACAGAAATCAAACTCATCAGCTCCACACTTCACCAAATAACCTGCAGCAACATCAGATTTGACACAACTGATCTTTAGTAACTCTCCTCAATCCAACACTTTCACAGCATCAGCTTCATTCTCCTCATATTCATTATATCACATTAGAGCTACCGATTCTAGTATTCACCACATACACTCTATGTGAACTTTCTAGGAAACAGTTTGGATGATAAAACATCTGCTAAGAACATAAATGTCCATCTAACAGCTCAAGCACATCAATGGAGTCTCATTGTAGAGTTGAGTAGATTTCAACTGATCTTTAGTAACTCTCCTCAATCCAACACTTTCACAGCATCAGCTTCATTCTCCTCATATTCATTATATCACATTAGAGCTACAGATTCTAGTATTCACCACATACACTCTATGTGAACTTTCTAGGAAACAGTTTGGATGATAAAACATCTGCTATTGTCAATCTAACAGCTCAAGCACATCAATCGAGTCTCATTGTAGAGTTGAGTAGATTTGCTCAGGAAAAGCAGCTCAAAGGCTATGATTAGATTGACCATTATTTATAACTTTAGAGACACTAAAACTTCAGAAGGACCCTTAAGACACGCTCAGGTTTGGTTTGGTTTCAATACACTGAAGCATTGCTAATATACAGCCTCACTTCATGTTTGCGGTCTTCATGGTCAAATTCATCAATGTGTTACAGGGCAATAAAAATCAGTTTTATCAAGTTTGAAGATCATCTGATCCAATTTTGATGAATGTTACTCAGAATCTGTGCTATCGAGTTCACTGATTTCACCATGATGTAATAAATCAGAAGGAAACATGAGGTAAAATGCTGAATTGTTAGTGAAGTTTTGAACTGTTGGTGGC